TTTCTCCATTGAAGCAGTAATCAGAGACATTCAGAGACCAAGGTCTGAAACAATGGCTTTCTCAGAGCAAAAAGCAGTTAAATTCTGACAGCCTTTCCCACCCATGGTCAAAACTATTGACATGCATGTTTTCCAGAAGGGATAGGATCATATCAGGTTTAACCTATCACAATGAAGATGATAATTTCTTCTTAGCTTCTGATTCTTTTTCTCCACCTGGATCAGATCAGGCAGCCTGGGGCAGTCCTTCCTGCATGTGTTCAAAAGGGGATCTTATCTTCTGTGTCTTCATTCGCATGTCTTGAGGTGGTGGTGGTGGAGAAATAGGGAAAGGACTGAAGGGGTGTGTGTGAGAGGGCTAGTCAAAGGGAAGCTGTCCAAAAACCTAGAAGAAGTGGACTTGCCATAGAGCGCTGATGGCCTTCAAAAATGTGATGTCATTGTCTTAACAGTGTGTTTGTTTCAATAATCTGTTCTAAAAGCCTATAAAATAATTCAGTGATTTAAAAGCCTGCTGCTTGAAGATGAGAGTTAAAGCTCTCTAAGGTTGGCTCCCCATCCATAAAGCTAGGAGACTGAAAGTAAAGCCCAGTGCTTAACAGTCTGCGATGTCTTATTTAGTCCATAAGCATGTTCTGTGCCATCAGCTTATCACAACCATAACAGTTTTCAAGCAAAAACATGGGCACATGGAGATTACCTATGATTCAGAAACAGGTCTGATGGCTTGTGGATCCATGCTAAAGATCTATGTATTTGCATCATCTTATATTTCTGTGCATCATAGCAGCTGTGGGTTTTTTTGGTCTATCACCATAGGTCTGATCTATGTAGGATTTGACAATGGCTTATAGGAGATCTGATGTAAAACTTTCATGGATTAATAAGGATCTGTGCCTCAGACCCATGTGTTTGCATCTGGGCAGTGCTATAAAGGTAACAGATTATGATTTTTAAAAAATATACAATTAAAGAACAGAGGTCCCTACACAGAGTTTTCCTTTGGAGCCCTCGTAGGGAGTTTGCCCTTTACTAGTTCTCACCTGGTCGGGTGAAGGTTGATCGCTTCTCCAGGAACTAGAAAAGGGTCGTTCTCTCTTCGTTTGCGTCTTTTTGGCTGGGTGAGTTCCCTTTCTTGCCTTGCGTAGAGGAATATAGAAGCTGCCGCCTGCATAAAATGTGATTTGTTCTTACTCGTGGGGAAGATTTATACTGCGCTGGCGCTTATCCTTACAGCTGGCCAGGGAATGAAAAACGGGAAGGGAGGCAGTGCGGGGAGGAGGAGGATCTACTAGAGAGGTGCAGTTGGCCGCTTAGGTTTTTCCCTCCTTGTCTTCTTCTGGAGTAACCTAGCCACCCACGGATCCCTTTCGGGGTGGGGAAGCGGGGTTTTTTTTATTTATATCCCGCCTCTGTGGTCGGTTAGCAACAAAATGAATGAATGAATGAATAATAAATCCGTGTAAACCGAACAGTTTCAGGTGAGCATTGTGGTGAGCTGATTTGAACCTATACTTTTGAGTAGGTAGTGAGAAAAGACGAGACACGTGTGTGACTGCATTGGGGTTGCCTAGAATTTGCATTTCATGCTCTCAATCGTCTTAATTTAATTCTTGTGAGTAGCTACCATGTTGTATGATGTTCCTCACAGGCCCCAAGTCTGTAGAGAATTTAGAGTGTGTATGTATGAGAGAGAGAGATGGGGCTAATCTGTGTCCTTCTGTTTGGAGAAAAGCTGTTTATAAAAACAAATAAATATCCCATAAAGAGGAATGTTTCACTGCTTAGAATTGGCTTCCCATCTTAAGTAATTTGATTTTTTTATCCTTGAGGATAGACCGATATTAGTTGCATTCTACTGTGTTTAGGTCTTGAGGATACATTAATTGACATTTTAAGTTCTCTTCCCCACTGATATAATTTTGTCCTCCATCTTAGCCTTTCCTGGGACATTTTACTGGTTCTTCACTTGGTGCCAAAATCCTCAGCCAACTCTCTGCTTGATGTTGAGGAAGCTGCATCGGAAAGGTCTCAGGATGGGGGGAAGTATATAATAAAACAAAAGGACAGAGTTTGCCTCTCCTCCTTATCAGCTCTCCCCCTGCGCTGATCAGGAGGAGATAAAAATTAAAAGGGGGTGCGATGGGAGGGTGAACCAGCTTCTGTGGAAAAATGTAACCCCAACATCCAGAAATTTCCCCCTGTTCCTTCAAGGTGGCTTGTTAAATGTAGAGACTTGCTAATGGTCCATAGTGGTGAGGTTATTGACTGAGGCTAAGCAGGAAGGGGTCTGAAATATTGTCACTTAAGCCTCAAAGCCCAATGTGGGTCAGTTATTATTGCTTCTCTGCCTTGTCTTTGGGCCAGTCTTTGTTTTAAGTCAGTGGTTCCCAATCTCGGGCGACTCAAGTGTTCTTGGACTACAGCTGCCAGAAATCCTCGCCAGCACAGTTGGTGGTGAAGGCTTCTGGGTGTCCAAGAACATCTCGGTTCCCCAAAGTTGAGAACCACTGCGTAGATTAATCTAACCAAGAGGGTTCTTGAAAGGTAAGAACATGGGAGTGGAGACGTTGTCTGTGGAGTATTTGAAGGATAAGATGTAAATCTGGCAAACGGCAAATATGAATCACTTCTGTTTTATTGCATCAAGGAAGACAAGTATTGGACAAGTATTTTGTCTGTGCTAAAAGAAAAGTAGGAAATCCTGTATTTGGTGACATTGCAAGAGATGAATGAATAAGGGACTGGGTGTGATTAATATGGAATGCATAAATTTTCTGTTTGTACCCTTCTAAAAAAAATACTTTTCCTAAGCAAAATTAAAACAAAATGCAAAATCTACAGGTCAGACAGTCTCTTTATTGAGACCAAATGTAACTCCTCAGATGTATGTGAGTTTTTGAGTTCTCCAGACATCTTTTGTGGGGTTTTTTGGGGGGTGGGGGTGGGGAAGGAATGGAAGCAGGCCAGAAGTGTAAAAAAATGAATAGATGTTCATAGCCAGGGGTTAAACTTAGTTTGAAAAGGGGGAATTCAGCCTGGTTGAATCACTGAGAGGTATGCAGGCAGGTATTACATGGTTTGCTAGAAAGAAGACAAAATGGTTGGCTCCTTGTTTCAAGAAATGCGAGGCCGATGGCAGTTCAGATCATCTGCCTCTTGTTAAGGGCCAATCATAACAGATTTCTGAGAGGGCATGCAAGAAGGGGAAAAAATCAAGTGATAGAATTCTGAATTATTTTAATAATATAAGTGTGGTGTAGTGCTGGACTTAAAGCTGCATAAAAATGACATGGGTTCTGAGAGCTGATAAGAAAGAAAACAGATGCATCCTGGGAGCCTCAAGGATAAGTCGGGAAGAGTAGATTGTACAGCTAGATTTAACAGGAAAGGGTCTGTCAATATGTATGTGAGAGACAGCCCTGTTGGGGAGCCCAAGATTACAAGTTTAAAAGGTTGTTTTGAAGACTGTGAGTTGGGAGACAGACCCTCTCTTAGCTATCCACTCATCCTCTTTATATGCTAGCTTGCCTTTTTCTGTGTATTCTGCTGGAGTAGAAAATCATGGGGCTTTTTGATTTGCTGTGAACGTTTCTGTTATGTAGTATGCCTTTCTGGCTATTAAATATCTGGCGTCTTCACAATTCTGCTGTTCTCTCTATCCCAACAGTTTCAGTGAGCAACAACACTGCGGGCAGGAATCCAAGCATTAAAAAAAAAAAAAAAAACATTGTGTGGTTCTGCACCCCTCTGAAGGCTCTCTGTGTAGCTGTAGAGCTGCATTGCCTGACAGATCTTCCGTAGCCAGTCACTTCAGATACCAAGGTAAGTTTAAATTGAAGCAGGAGGTTTGTTTTCGATCTTCTTTCCTGTACCATGGAACCCTTGATCGATATGGCACATGGTTCTAGAACTTGGCTATCTGCCCTGGGACCAGATATTAGCCAGGTGGAACTGGGGCAGGACCTTCCCAGAGGGTCTTCCAAAACAGTTTTCAGAACAAGAGAGTTTCTGCAGCCTTGCCTACCTATATTTTCCAGTGCCTGCCCTTGTTGTTTCTTCTCTTTTGTCCCCTTTTAAGCAGCATCTGGGGCCTGCTTCATGCTTGGCATTTCCTACCGTTATGCCCAAAGGGTATCCCTCCAGTATCCTCCCATTAAAAAAAACACCCTCTTAGCTTAGAAGTGACCTCTGGGAGCAATTTTGCAATGTTTTGTGATCCCATCACCCTTTGGCCCCCGCATCCCAGATTTAATTTCTAAAAAAATATTTTTCGCTCATCACCAAGGGGGTGTTTTCAATTTTTAAGAAAATAATCCAATTTTTTGATGGAAAACTTTTCTAGCACGGAGGAGTGGAAATCAGAGCGGTGCTGCTAACTCCAGGGATTAGCCTCTTGAAGTTACCAAGCACCTCTGTTATGGGAAAAGCTTCTGACAAGTTCTTCTAGAGCAGTGTTCCTCAACTTTGGGCCTCCAGATGTACTTGGGCTAACACTCTCAGAAGCCTTCACCACCAGCTGTGCTGGCCAGGATTTCTGGGAGTTGCAGTCCATGAACATCTGGGGACCCAAGGTTGGGCGCCAATGTGAAGAAGAAAGCAGGAGTCCCATTCCCGTATCGAGGCTTGGTCAAACTTTTCTCTTTTGTTATGAAATGCCCTGGTTTGAATAATACCATAGTGAAACATTATCTGTGTCAATGCCCTTCTTCCCCCCCATGGTATGTTTGTGTGCTTGCGCACGTGCATGCATGTATTGCACAGAGATGCTGGTGAAAACTGGGAACCTAATTTGGAACAGAGACGATGAAGGCTGCAGTCAGAAGTTTAAATCAGAAAAATGTAAAACGAGGCCTTGCTGTTTAGATGATCAGATCAACCTTTGAAGACAAGGAAACGTACAGAAAACTTAACTCTGAACAATCCCATTCAGTGGAGGCAGCACTAATGTAGAGGGTGTAGTTAAAAAGCAAAAGAATCCGAGTAACAAAGGTTAAGAACCACTGGTATAGTCAACAATACATGAATACATCCCAGGCAAAGAGCTGGTGATGGCAGAAAATCCCATCAAGAAATTGTCGTGCCTTTAATCAACTCAAATTGATTAGAAACAAAGCACCCCCTGCTAGATCTCAACCCCTGCCCAGTGGAACTCCTGGGCCATTCCGTTGCTTGGTGAGGAAAGGATTAGCCAGGTGTGCAAGATTTATGGTTAGTTCAAAATCGGTTGAGAAAGACATGGAGGCCTAATTATTTTAGCAAATCAAGCCGGGAGTCCAATAAAAAGGTACAGGATGGCCATGTTTTTCATTCCCCTTCAGGCTTATGTGCCGTTTCCATCTCCTTAAGCTGTCTTCTTAACCTGACTTGGTGATATAAACCAGCGCCAACTTTTAGATGGCTTCACTGAAGGTTTTATATCTTCCAGTAAGAAGACCTAATTTTTTAATTTCTTTAGTACCCAGTATCCTAAATTCCTGATTCCAGTCGAAGGCCTTGTGGATTTTGCTTCCTTTCAGTCGGGAGCTCCACATAACATTTCTGAAGCAAGCATATCTGTCTGTTATTTATACAGTTCTCCTACAATTTGTGCTATTTCCCCCATCACAACTGTTGTGTATATTATAAAACATGTGTTCAATCAAAATTTCATTTTGAACACTTGTGTGAACATGATTTACTCTGCCTAATCTATGTCAAGATGCACTGTTACCATGGTGCAAGGATCCCTTACATGTGTGTCTCTGAACTTGCATGAGTTCAGATTGATGCCCCGGGAACATACCGAGTGTCCGTCCTCTGTGAATAAAATGAATCTTTCTCTATTGTGGAATGTAAGAAGAACCAGGATGCATCAACCCATGAGCCAGTCTGGTTTAAAACTATGTTCACACAATGGCCAACCAGTGGTTCCCCATGTATTGTAAAGTATTTCTAGTACCGTATTTTTCTGTGTATAAGACTATACTTTTGTCTAAATTCTTTAGACTAAAAATTGAGAGTCATACATGGAAGTAAGCTGAGGAGAGAACAAAAAAAAAGTGGAGGGGAAAGCAGGGATCAAAACAATTCTGAAGTGCTTTTATCCCTTTCCCCCTCCACTTGCTAAACGCCACTTAGATTTTTAATTTTGGATTAGAAAAGTGGGGGGGCATCTTATACACGGAAAAATATGGTACTCTGCTCATCCTTTTATTTGCAGGAGTATCATGCCTGAGAAGAGGTTGGTTTCCTCACTGGAAAGACTCTGCCTGGAGTATGTGGCTAAGAATCTGGACCAGGTCTGGGACAAAGATTTAATGGACAACCACCTTGGTAAGTACCACTGTCCCCTCTGCATGCTGATGGGCGGGATATAACTGGCATGTCCCTTTGCCTCACTGGCCCTCATCAACATTCAGTCACAACCACAGCTTGCTGTTGCTGCATTGAGTTATAGCAGTCTGCAGCAAGAAGTGGAGCGCTTCATTAGAGTGCTTATTCCTTCTGTTTGCAGGCTGCTTGCTTCATTCATTCATTCAACTTGTGTACTGTACAGTGGTACCTCACTAGATGATGACCCCGCTGTACAACGAATCTGCAGGACGGTGACTTTTTTGCGATCGCTATAGCGATTGCAAAACGATGTTTCCAATGGGGAATTTTCACTTAACGTCAATTAAGTCCATGCTTCGTGAACCGTTTGTTTGCAAGGCAACTATGTTTTCTGGTTCTGCAAAATAGCTACCCTGTGTTTTCCGGACCCATGCTTCGCAGGGCAGCCATTTTAACAGCTGATAGGTGCTCGGACAATGGCTTCCCCTATGGGTGATCTTCGCTGGATGATGAGGTAATTTTCCCATTGGAACACATTAAATGGGTTTCAATGCATTCCAATGGGGAAACTGTTTTCGCTGTACGATGTTAACAGCGATTTCAGGGGAACAGATTATCATCGTGGTGTGGAGCACCACTGTATATATATGTGTATATTTAAAATATTTTTACTCTGCTAAAGTGGCTTACATCATTAAAAAGGCAATATATTGAAGCTAAAAAACAGTTAAGTATAGAAATATTTAATATTTACTTCTTTTTAAAATATATTTACAGTGGTAAATAAAATTAATATTAAAAATACATTTTAAAGCCACAAGGCACGATCGTCTATTTAGAATGGCTTTCCAGAGCCAGCCTGTGTGGCCTCGGGCAAGCTGCACAATCCCAGGGCACCCCCAGAAGAAGGGGATGGGAAATCACTTTGCTACCTGGCAAACCCTGAAAACGGTCCCCATAAGTCAGAATAGTCTTGATGGCACACGGTAGGGGCAGGCGATCTCCACAGGTCTGGGGGAGGGGCACATATGCTCCTCCCGGGACCTTGGGGGAGGGCGTTTCTGCTACTCCCAACACAAAACGCTTTAATACAAATTTTAAAAATTGAAGTGTGGAAGGTTCCGGGGTGTGAGGAGCCCCTCAAAATGTAGCAGAATTACTCCCCATACCTAATACAGGGTATGTGCATATTTGCTCTCCAAGAGAATATGTACAGTTCACTGTTGTAAACCAAGTAAGAGAAGGCCCCGGGGGACCCCACACACACACACCACCCTTAGTTATACTTCCCAACCTTCTGGATAGAATGCCTAAGTAAGGCTACCATACCATTCCAGCTATGCCAAGGTAATGCCAAATATTGTGTTAATCTTTGGTCCTCTTCTCTTCGCCCAGCTGAGTCCTTTGTCCCATGGCTGATCTACATAAGATGGGAGGCCAAAACCCTCACCTCTGCCGTGCTGGACACTCTCCTGGTGCACCATTTGAGGACACTGAAACTGAGTTTTTGCCCAGAGCTGGTTGATCAGGCCCTTATCCAGACCATCGCAGTGCGCTGCAAGGTAAGGGGTGTGCGTGCATGTGGATTAGAGACCACAAAACAATCCCTAGATGGAGAAAGTAGACCAGCAAGTGCAACATCAGACCCACTGTTTGCTGATAAGCTCTTGGGGCAGACTAGGGAGGGGACTTGAGTGTGGCTTGAATAAAAAATAAAGCTTCCTCTTATGACACAGGGGCTAAAATGGTTCAGGCAGGGATCTACAGAGCAGGTCGAGCTATTAAGTCTCCCATAGTAGATCACCCCTTAATTTGTTTACCGTAGTTTATCTCAACTGGCACTTGTCCAAATTGTTCACTCAGAAACTTGCATAATGAGAAAGAATAGTGTTTCAGTTTACTCACAGTTCTTATATAAAAATAAACATTGGGTAAAAAAATTAATATGTAGAACTTAACTGGTTTACTAGCTCCATGACTGGCAAACTGATGGGTTATTTAACTCAGTGGTCCCCAACTTTGGGCCTCCAGATGTTCTTGGACTTCAACTCCCAGAAATCCTGGCCAGCAGAGGTGGTGGTGAAGGCTTCTGGGAGTTGCAGTCCAAGAAAACTTGGAGGCCCAAGGTTGGGGACCACTGATATAACTCATTGACAGAACCCTCTGTCTACAGACTCCATTACTAACTTAACTGAACCTTGACTGGGGGGAAAAAGGCAGAAAAAAAAGCATCTGAGGCAGAGAAGGAACAATGGGTTGCTACGGAATTGACTTGACAGCAGCTGCAGCTCCCTCCCAGCCCATGTTCCCTTCTAAGCTGTGCGCGCTGGCCCAGAGCTCCCGTCACGGTTCCACACAGGCAGCCATTGGTGGGCTTGTTTACTTCCCCTTTCAAAGGAAGCTCCGCATGTAGGTGACAATATATCCAATAGAAGCAAAGGATATGAAATGGTGATGTAGGAACAGCATACAGAAGGATGAGGATCCGTGGGCTGTTCCCTTGCTGAGGCATTGAGGAGCTGCCACATCGGAAGAAGCCTTGGATTTGCTCAGTCTCTTTCTCTCTCTCTCTCTCTTTTCTTGTCTCCTGAGGTAGAAGCTGACCTTGCTGGATCTCTTTGACTGCAGCAATGTTCCTGCAGAAAGTCTGGCGCAACTGGTGAAAGGCCTGCCGTGTCTCAGGCAGCTGGACCTCTCCATGACCCAGTGCGACACCCAAGTGTTGTCGGCTGTGGCCTCTTCCTGCCAGTGCCTTCGTGAACTGGCTATCGTCGAATGTGGCAAACTCACCCCAGATTCCCTCCTCTATCTGGCCTATGACCCCCTCGTTGGCTCCTTCAGGGCCCTGGAATTGCAGAGGCTCATGGCTGAAGGACTGGAGCATGATGTGAACCGACAAGAGCAGGTTTGGGTTCTGGCCTTCGTGGTGCTGGCTTTGCCGAGCCTCAAGTTCCTGGTTCATGACCTCCTCACAGAGGCCGTGTCCCTGATCCACAGGCAGCAATTTGACGCGGCCCAGATGCCTCCTGGGTTTCCTTCCTTAAAGGAACTGGCACGGGGCAGAGTGACCACCCCCGCAAACGACGGGATTTTGAGACCCACCTTGGCCCTCCAGTATATGGATAATGTGAACCAGTCTAACCTGACTGATGTCTGTGCCCTGTGCCCAGACTTGGTGCGGGTGGCCATGGACCCAGGAGACAGCCCCATGTGGGCCCAACGGGTCTTGTCCTACCGCTGCCTCTCCCATCTTACGATCAGCTGCAGGAAAGAGAAGGACCTGATGGAGCTTTTGCCGGTGACAACCAACCTTGGAGCCCAGCTTCTGTACCTCTCCATTAGTGGCTTCTCCTTTATAGATCCGTTCTCTTTCCATAACCTTCTGAGGCATTGTGGGAATCTCCAAAAATTCAGGGCCTCTTTCCTCTCTCCGGAGAAGGATGAGGAGGGCGGGCAGTCAGTTGATGAAGCTATGGATTGGGACTTCGGCCTCTTCCCTCTCGAGTTCCTTCAGCTTTCTGACTTCTCCTTGGAGCATTCTGACAAGGGGAATCCTCTGCCTTTTCGCCATGCGAGGGTGTTGAGGGAATGTTTAGTATCCGTGATGAAACATTCCCCGTTGCTACGAAGCTTGGATCTGGTCCACTTGCCTTTCTCCTTGGATGATGTTTTTCAGGAGGTGCTGATGTGCCCTGCCCTGCTCCACCTCTCTACGCTCATGTTCGATAATGCCCAGGTGTCCATGTGCACCATTGACCTCTTGTTGTCTTCAAAGAATCACCTTTTTTACATCTACTTGTACAGATGCCCAGACATTGACATGGCGGAATACAATAAGATCCTCCACAAAATTGAGAGGGAGGGTTTTAATGTACAGATTCACTTAGACTGAAAATTCAGCTATTCTGAATTTGGTAGCTACACTTACTGTATGTTATAGTCAAGATGTGCTTTGTCTTCTTTTTAAATAAAAGTTCAGCCAAGATGCTGTATTTTTAAAAAAATAAAATGGGTAGATAACAAAAGCGCACCTCTGATTGTATTTGTCTTCAGCGTGGAAAGAATTGTCGCTCTTGTCGCTACACTAGATGCTGTTCCAAGTCCTCCATACAGAGCACGTCACCATAGTCTCTAGAGATGGAAGGAAGCCTACGCCTCTGATGTAAATTGAGATAAGAGTGCTAAGAAAGTAGATGCTTAGCCAAAAGTTTATCCAGAGACAACCAAATAGGGGGCTGGGCTTTCTGTGTATTCTTCCTCTATATCGGTGGTTCCCAACTTTGGGTCCCCAGATGTTCTTGAAATAAATTCTCGGAAGCCTTCACCACTAATTCTGCTGGCCAAGATTGCTGCGAGTTGTAGTCCAAGAACATCTGGAAGCCCAAGGTTGGGAACCACTGCTCTATACATTGAGTCTGAGTCTAAAAGAAGCCATAGTGCATTGTACCAGCCAGCTATCTCATCTATCATAGGGTTCTACTGTGCAGCCTTGCTGATGTCCAGTGGGAAGGTGACAAATTGGACATGAACATCTCTGATAGCTGTTCCACATTCACTGGTATTCATTCAGAGAACTGATGCCTGCGAATTGGTAGTGACAGAGGTCCACCATGGCAACAAGCCCTTCTTTGTATGAATCAGTGGTTCCCCACCTTGGATCCCCAGATGTTCTTGGACTGCAACTCCCAGAAGCTCTTGCCACCACAGCTAGTGGTCAAGGCATCTATCTGGGGACTCAAGATTGGGAACTGCTGCTCTACATCCATATTAAAATTGTCTGACTCTTACAAAATGGCCATTACTTGTTTTGCCACCACAGCTAGTGGTCAAGGCATCTGTCTGGGGACTCAAGATTGGGAACTGCTGGTCTACATCCATATTAAAATTGTCTGACTATTACAAAATGGCCATTACTTGTTTGTTGTCGTTTAGTCGTGTCCGACTCTTTGTGACCCCATGGACCAGAGCACACCAGGCCCTCCTGTCTTCCACTGCCTCCCGGAGTTGTGTCAAATTCATGTTGGTTGCTTTGCAGACACTCTCCAGCCATCTCATCCTCGGTCGTCCCCTTCTCCTCTTGCCTTCACACTTTCCCAACATCAGGGTCTTTTCCAGGGAGTCTTCTCTTCTCATGAGATGGCCAAAGTACTGGAGCCTCAGCTTCAGGATCTGTCCTTCCAGTGAGCACTCGGGGTTGATTTCCTTTAGAATTGATAGGTTTGTTCTTGCAGTCCAGGGGACTCTCTAGAGTCTCCTCCAGAACCACAGTTCACAGCAGCATTACCCGTACTGAGTTACGAACTTAGCAGACTGGTTCTAGAATGGGGAAAGGAATAGTCGGGAAAGGAATGGTGGAAGTAAACTTACCACCTCCTCTCTGCTGAAGTTCAGCTTCTTGGAAATTGCTACTCAGTGGGCTGGCAGCTTCTGAATTGCAGGAAGTCTGGAACAAAATGAGAATCTCTGAATATCAGACTGAAGAGAAATTAATCCAGAATTTTTGTTTTGTTTTGTTTCTGGAAGCCTGGTTCTTTCTTTTTTCTGTCCTGAATCTTGGGCAAATTTTCAGGTTTCTTGTCTGAAACAATGAACAGTGAAACATGTTGATGGATCAACTGCAAGGTGAATAAAAATCAATGATTTTTTTTAAAAAAATCAATTTTTTTAAAAAACACCATTTAAATCAGGACTTAAATGTTGAAAATGATGTTTAAAGTTTAAATCTTTTTTTTTTAATCCTATTTTTAAAATTTACATTGTGATTTCAGTCAAATCCACCCTGGGACTCAGCTTCTTCCACCACACCTTACGGCAGAATCATCATCATCTTAAAACTGGAAAACTCCCCCTGTGAAAGGGGCGCAGTGGGGAACTGAATTTCTCTACCTAAGCCACTGAGCTGTCCAGCAGTTCAGAATGGTAGCTGAGGAGCACAGAGCAAGCTATGCGCCTCGTGCACTACAGTCCTCTAGTAGCTGTCCATGGTACCTCGGCCAATGCTGCTGGAGGCATTTCTGCCTCCCTTCTGCCAGACTCTTCCCCCGGTCCCTGGATCAACTGGGAATTGCTGCTGGATCATACACTCTCGGCCAAATAGAGGAGAATAGACACTCCCAAAATCAGATGAAGCATTTCAGAGTCAGTACGCTGCTGGATCATACACTCTCGGCCAAATATCGGATGAAGCATTTCAGAATCAGTACTTGAGTCACAATTTAGGTGCTGAACTGCCCAAATAAATAAATAAATATATAAATAAATACTTGAGTTACAATTTAGGTGCTGAACTGCCTTGTGGATTTTCTTCAGTCCTTGAGGGGAAACTTGTAGGAGCAGAGCTGAAGTTATGACTGAAACAAAGAGACAACACCGGTCAATATCTGACTCTGAACCCATATTTCTTTATCATTTTAGGGTGTGTTTTTTCACCTCCTTATTCCTTACGTTGTTCCACTGTAAAAGCTAGGATTTTGTGGACAAGAGCAGCACGGAGACGAAAACACTGGAAGGGTGGCCCCTCAGTTTTGTTCTGCCCTGATGGCTGTCAAGGTGCTTTGCATTGTGGAACATTCCCTGGGAGGAAATCTGGACCTGCTTCTGGAGAAAAGCAGAGGGCCTTGTGGCACTTTAAGGACTGATGTCACGTTCATCCAAGTGTCCTCAGCCAGACTTGGTACGACAAGAAACCAGAGTCTTAAGAAGTGGCAAGATTTATTGCTTAGATGGGAGCTTTCTTGTATGTTCCTTTTTAAAAAACATACTGGACTTGGGTTCTATCCCATTCTGGACTGGTGTTTTATAACGCAAGAGGAACCGAAGATCATTGAACTAGTACCAGTTGTTGTATTCCAGTCTTCAACTTTTGCTAACGGGCACGCTTCTGTTTCTGCAGCAACAAAGATGACATCAAAAATATTGTGGTTCCTTTTAAGGCCAACCCAATTTATTTCAGGGAAGCTTTTGTGGCTTACAAAACTAGTTTAGACACAGACGTAGCCGAAGAAGTGGATTGTGCTCCACGGAAGCTCCTGTTTTTTAATTACTTTTGTCAGTCATAAATGTGCCGCAATACTTTTTGAAATGAATTTAACAAAAGCGTGCCCTCGTTAAAAAGAAGTCAGTTACAGAAAACAGTAGAGAAGGGAATCTCTCGATGTTCTTTGTTCAAAGGATAGCCTAAGGGGTATCACATTCACCCATGACATGTTCAGTACGTAAACTGGAACAAAAACCTATTATGTGCTCACTGGTCACCTTTTTGTTTAAAGGGACGCGGTGGCGCTGTGGGCTAAATCGCAGAAGCCTGTGCTGCAGGGTCAGAAGACCAAGCAGTCGTAAGATCGAATCCACGTGACAGAGTGAGCTCCCGTCGCATGTCCCAGCTCCCGCCAACCTAGCGGTTCGAAAGCATGCAAATGCAAGTAGATAAATAGGGACCACTTCGGTGGGAAGGTAACAGCGTTCCGTGTCTAAGTCGCACTGGCCATGTGACCACGGATGATTGTCTTCGGATAAACGCTGGCTCTACGGCTTGGAAACGGGGGGGAGCACCGCCCCCTAGAGTCGAACACGACTGGACAAAAATTGTCAAGCGGAACCTTTACCTTTACCCATTCTTCTGTTGCCTAATCTATCTATGGTACATTGTGAGGAACACAACGAGATGCCTGTAGAGAACCTGGTGAATCTGAGAAAGATTTGCTGTACGTCATAAAACTGGATTTCATGCCTTTATCTTGCGGGCTGGGACAGAATACCATTCTCTTTTTTTCATGCCAAAATGGCTCCTTAGAGCTCTGAGATCAGGCATTATAACCTGACAATGTCTGAATGAACATATTTCTGCCATTCTGTGAATGTTGCCTATATGTATCTGCCTGTGTGAATCACATTTACCTTGATTCTGTCACCTCTCCGTCCACTCTGTCTTCTGCTCCACCAAACATACAGTACTGGGGACCAACTGCACTGGGAAACAGCACCCCCCCCAACTTGCCTGCTTTTTTGCTGCTCTGCCTTGTTATAGACTTGCCACTCTATATTCCTGTTCAGAAGAAAGTGCAACCGTCCAGAATGGTAGCATTTACAGAAGGGGGTGGATTTTAAATCATGGTTTTCTGTTTCTTCTTGTTCTGTATCTAAAATAATAAGTGAGGTTTGCCCTGAGGTAAGATCTACGATTGATAAACTGTAATATCCAGGTGGTGCTGGATGGATACAGTGGTGCCTTGCTTGACGAGGATAATCCGTGCCGTTGAAATAGCTGTTAAGCGAAATCCTCGTCAAGCGAAATTTAAAAGCCCATTAGAATGCATTAGAAACCGGCTGATACATTATAATGGGGGAAATACCTCATTGTAAAGCAAAGATCCTCCATAGGGCGGCCATTTTCCGGTACCTGTCTTGTGAAAAATGCCTCCTAAAAACAGCGGGGGGGGGCATTTTGAGAGCTGACGGCCATTTTGAAAACCACCAATCAGCCGTTGAAAAAACATCATTTAGCGAAAAATCGGTTCCCGAAACAGGGAACCGATCATCGCTAAGCAAAAAACCCCATTCAAACATCATTTTGCGATTGCTTTTGCGATTGCAAAAACATCGTGAAGCGGATTCATCATTAAAACGGGGTAATCGTCAAGTGGGGCACGATTGTATTTGGTTGCAAGTTCAATTCCCCATTGTGCATCGCAGAAGAACCAGCCTGTGTGGCCTTGAGCAAGTTGCTCAGTCCCAGGGCATCTCCAGAAGAAGGGAACCATAAACTACCTCTACCTCTGAGCACTCTCTACCTAGAAAACCTGGAAAAAGTCTCAATGGGTCAGAATTAACTGTACAGCACAACATTGGGACTGTTTTTTCAAAATGAAAACAAATCCAAAAAACCTTCATACAGAAGTTTGAAGACTGGGTGAGGCTAAGACAGAACTTATTTTCTCCAGGCACCTTACTGGGCTTTCTACATATCGGATGTTGGACTAGTGAACTGGGAAGCATTTGATAGTCTTTGTAAGTTCGGGAAGCACCGCCAGCTCTGAGCATGTTACCATCGTAAATGAACACAGATCCATGGCAAGGATGTTGGACGATATTTGGGGGCTCAGGCCCGGTCTCTGCCCAACACCCCGTTTCCTGGAGGAAATGGCCTGTCCTTCCAGATTAAGACAGTGTCTGTGGTGGACATTTTGTGTTGGCGACTATGACAGCTTCTCAAGGTTCACAGATAATCACCACGGACTCAGAACATTTGGAGACACTGGCGCTACATCCTCCCAGTCCGGTCACCTCATCAAAATGGTGGGCAGGTATTTCTGAAAGCAGCAGTAGAGAGACTGAATGCACCCACCCATACTATGAAACGCATGTAGGCCAGCGGCAGGGAAAGCCGCCCTCCATTTAATTTGGACTACAGCTTCCACCTTGGCCACGCAGGTCTGGTTGCTGGGTAGGAACTCCAAAACAATGGAAGGAACCAAATTCCCCACCAGTGGCAGAAACTTTGGGACAGTGCTGTAGCAAATCCAGGATCCAGTTCTCCATGTCCCACTGACTATACTATCCAGCCCTGAAGCCACCACGAAACATTATCTGATCTGTGCTTGGGAATGCCCAGCGAAGCAGCACTTTCCCCTGCATCCTTACTTCAGCAGATAAATAGTTCAGAGGCATGTTATGTAATCCAAAAGTTTATTAAAAATACAAATAGAGATAACATTTAGTTTAGGCCTCGGCAGAAATGGACCTTCCATTCCAGGCCAGAGGGGAGGGGGGGTGTCTTCATTTCCAGCTGACGTGCACATCAAGGCGCTTCTCGCTGACTTTCCGAAGGAGCTCACTGTATTCTGTCTCAGAGATATTTAAACATGTATCCAATTCAAGGCACGCCAGCTCATTCTTAGAGGACAGAAGCAGGCCTATCGTAGGAGAGGACACCTCCGCTTCAACCAGCGAAAGCTTACAGAGGTGTAGCAGGCTAGTTCCAGGAGGCGCCAGCACCGTCTGAAACACGTCATCCAGGGAGAAAGGCAGGCAGGCCAAACATAAGCTTTCCAGATTCGGGGAATGCCTCAGCAGGGAAACCAAGCATTGTCTTAACAGGACAGCGTGCTTCAAAGGCAAGGCATTCTCCACGTCAGAGTGGATCAGGGTAAGGTTGTTAAGCTGAGGGAGTGAATGGTCAGGCAGGCTCAAGTCCCAGCAGATGGCCTCCGTGTTTGGTTGCAGGGCACAACCGTCTCTCCTGGGAGAATGGAAGGACACCCAAAATTCCTGGAGATTTGGGCAGTGGCTCAGCAGGGTGTGAAAAGAGAACTCGTCCTCCAAGGAGAATCCATCCAATGCCAAGAACTGAAGCTGAGGCCCAAGGCTTTGGGTCACCGGCAGAAGCTCCCTTAGGTCCCGCACCTCCATGCAGCTGACAGTCAGGCGGACAAGATGGCGCCAAGGCAACAAGCATGGATTAAAAGCAAGGTTCTCTGTCAGGGCTACGCAGATTTCTGACAAGGATGGGCAAACAGCGTTGATCTTCGGCACGGAGGAAGCGGGCACGTAATAGATTTGCGTGAGAGCCAGGACGAGTTGGGAACGGCCTTTACTTGAGTAGGCAGACCTTCTGCACTCTGCCAGCTTCTCCAAGGAGGGAAATCTAGGGGGAATCCGAGCACCCTCAAATTGCTGGTCATAGATCCGACATACAGCCTCAGCCACAGAATCATGAACCACACATTTAAGGCTGGGTAGTGCCAGTAGCATAAAGACAAGGGCCCAGACCAGGTCTTCTCCATTAGTGGCAGGATCCAGCCCCTCCATATACAGTCTTTTTAACCCTGGGCAGCACAGAGAGTTTGTGCCAGAGTCATAGGCCAAGTGTAGGAGGGAATCCGGGGACAGTCTTCCGCAACCACTGATATTTAGTTCATGGAGCCGCCAGCAGCAGGAGCGAATGGTTGACAAGACTGACGTGTCACACTGGGTGTTTGAGATATCCAGCTTGAGGAGGCATGGCAAACCTCCTAGGAGGTCGGCCAGAGCATCTGCAGGGATATGGCTGCAGCCATGGAGAACCAGGGAGGACAGATTCTGCTCTCGGAAAAACAGAAAGAGGGTAAGTTCCTGAATGGGTGTCTCACCAATGGAAGCATTTACACAACCAACATTCATGGAAAAGAAGAAACTCTTGAGATATAGAGATACAGTGGTGCCTCGCATAGCAATGTTAATCGGTGCGGCAAAAATTGCCACTAACTGAAAACATCACCCCTTCAATGCGTTCCAATGGGGGGAAAACTTACCTTTAAGCGAAAATCCTCCACACAGCAGCCATTTTCGCTGCCCGGTAAGCAAGGAATCCATCCCAAAAAAGAGCGGGTGGCCATTTTTTCCCCAGGTGGCCATTTTGGAACTGCCGATCAGCTGTTGGAAAAAATTGCTATGCAAAAATCGGTAAGCGAAACAGCTTACCAATCATCGCAAAGCGATTTTTACCATTCAAAACATCGTTATGCGATCACTTTTGCAATCGCAAAAACCTAATCACTATGCGGATTCGTCGTTAAATGGGGCACTCGTTAAGCGAGGCACCACTGTACAGAGATGGGTTAAAAGAGGGCTTAAGTATGAAATCAAGGGAAGAGCTAGAAGAACAAGGTACAATACTTGATTGGTGGACAAAAATACAAATAGATTCCAGATATACAAGAGAAAAAGCAGTAGGCTTCTGTAAGGAACAGGCACCAATGGATAAGATACCCTGTTTCCCCGTAAATAAGACAGGGTCTTATATTAATTTTTGGGGATGTTTTTTTTTCATGTACAACCATCTACATTTATTCAAATACAGTCATGTCTTCTTCTGGTTGCTGCACAAGGGTGAAGGGCTGGGTTTCACTTAACTGGGGCTTATTTTTGGGGTAGGGCTTATATTACGAGCATCCTGCAAAATCATACTAGGGCTTATTTTCTGGTTAGGTCTTATTTTAGGGGAAACAGGGTACTTCTAAATATAAAGGAAAAACTGATTAAAATGTTGTATAATTATCTACTAGAATTAAAAATGCAAGAAGGCCAAATTATCTCTCCCCACCAACCCATGATCCTGGCGTTCCAGTCTTACAAAGGTCCAAATCTCAGCTGAAATGTGCCAGGTGAGAGATACCTTGAGAACCTATGAATGCCTTGCTGGATCCTGCCAAAGGATTCATCTACTCCAGTGGGTCCCGACCTTGGGTAATCCAGGTGTTCTTGGACTACACTTTCCAGAAGCCTTCACTGCCAGCTGTGTTGGCCTGGGGTTTCTGGGAGTTGCAGTCCAAGAACACCGGGGTTACCCAAGGTTGGGAACCACTAGTTTAGTCCAGTCTTCTATTTCCCAATAGGCCACTTGACAATTGCCCCATAACATATAAATGTTATTTTAAAAAAAACACTACAAGTCCCAGAATCCCTCAGCTCCCACTCTGCAGACAGAATGTCCACAAGGTGTCCCTCTTCCATTCACTTCCTCCATCCATCACCTGCTTACCTTGCAGCGCACGGATATGATGTGGACAGTCGTTCTGCTGACCAGGTTTGGGCAGCTGCTCAGGTCTAACTCTGTCAGCTGAGGCTGAAGGAGCGAGCACAGCAGGGGGGAGGTCAGGCGCTGATCATTTTCCAACAATTGGATTAGCTCCTGGAGAAGGGCATCAGCTAGGCAAAGAGAGAAGGTGCATCCTTGTTTTTTTTATTTTTCAAAGACACGGATACATTATAGATTATTTAGCATACAGTTCTACCTCCTCAGGTACCCAATAGAACTGGAGTGGGGGAAAATACGGCTCTGTAGACCTTGCGGTGCTGCAACTCCTTCCGTCCTCCTTATTAGCAAAAGCTCATGGGAAATGCACTCAAGCAACATCAGAAGGGCCGCACCTTCTCATGCATTCTGGAATTAATCTTTAAGAGATGCTGCCTTTCTGTTCTCAACTCTTCCTAGACACACAAGCAGAGTGCAAATCTGAACTTCAAGGGAGCATGAAGAGGATGTAACCAAGCCTCTGATGGACAAGCACCTCGGATTGTGCCATGGGCACACTAAGAGCAAAAAAAAAATGGTAAAAATTTATATACTGTGTATATACTGCCCTATAAGACTCTAAGCACTCTTTGAGCAGTTTACAATTTAATTCGCCAGGCTACACATTGCCCCCTCCTGCCCTTGAGCTGAGTACTCATTTCACCAACCTCAGAACGACAGAAGACAGAGTCAACCTCGAGCTGGCTACCTGAGACCATCAGGACTGAACACAGGCCGTAAGCAGAAGCTTGACTACAGTCCTGCAGTTTAACCACTGCTCCATGGTGCTACCGTTGAATCACACAGAGCTGTGTGTGTTTGTGGGTGTACAAAGCTTAGTTTTTGATGCAGGCATATTTATTTATTCCAGGTACTTTCCAATTGCACCATGTTCTTGTGAAATAGGACGAGAGGAATAGACTTCACCCCCATTGCAAGGACTCTGATTGGCTCTGCAGTTCTCTCGTACAATTTTTCAGAAATTAACACATTTTTGCTGTATTTATATCTCCCATTTCAAATCCCATATGGCACAGTACTGTCTACTAGCCCTGCCTGGCTAGCTGTTGCCCACTACCTGCTTAGATCTGCACCATAACTCTTTCCAAGTGACCTACCGCAAAAGGATTATCTATCCCCTTATGCTACTTGGAGGCTGATGGGTGCCTTTTATTTATTGATTTGATTTATATCCCACCCATCTGGTATATTCTACTACTCTGAGCGGCTTCCAACAAAGCACATACTGATATTCTACCACTCTGAGCGGCTTCCAACAAAGCACATATACATTAAATAAGACAAAAGCATTATAACTTAATCAATAACAAAAAACAGTGCAAAAATATAAAATAATAACTAGCAAGAAAGAAGAAGAGTTAAGTACTGACAGGAAGGAAGGCCTGGATGTACATCCATGTTTTTAGTTGCATACCAGGTCCCTGATTTTTTTTTTTAGTGGGTGGGAGTGTTTGGGGAATTTTATGTGTGTGCACGTGTCTGGTCTCTGGATGTCTGTGAATTTCATTGTATGGGTATACAGTATTGTGTATACACTTACAATGAAAATACATAAATAAATAAATAAGTAAGTAAATAAATAAAAATAAAACAAAATAAAACAAAATAAAATAAAATAAATGAAGGCTCTGGGCCAGTGGATCCCAACCTTGAGTCAGTCCCCAGATGATAGATAGATAAATAAAATTTTATTACAGTCACAAGGTAAAGGTAAAGGTTCCCCTTGACAATTTTTGTCCAGTCGTGTTCAACTCTAGGGGGCGGTGCTCATCCCCGTTTCCAAGCCAGAGAGCCAGCGTTTTGTCCGAAGACAATCTTCTGTGGTCACATGGCCAGTGCAACTTAGACACAGAACGCTGTTACCTTCCCACTGAAGTGGTTCCTATTTATCTACTTGCATTTGCATGCTTTCGAACCGCTAGGTTGGCAGGAGCTGGGACAAGCCACAGGGTCTCACTCCGTCGCGTGGATTCGATCTTACGACTGCTTGGTCTTCTGACCCTGCAGCACAGGCTTCTGCGGTTTAGCCCGCAGCACCACCACGTCACAAGACCAGTCACAAGACCAGCCACAAATAAAACATCTTAAATATTGTTCTTGGTCTAAAACTCCCAGAAGCCTTCACTACTAGCCGTGGTGGCCAAGATTTCTGGGAGTGGTAGTCCAAGAGCACCTGGGGACCCCAGGTTGGGAAGCACTGCTCTACATCTCACCCAAGATGCCTTTCAGTGGGAGATGCTGTAGTTGGAGTACAGGCAGGCCTATCTGTGCGTGCGCTCTGCAGTCAGCCTCTTCTTGGCCTCCCTCTTGTCCCAAGACTCTCACCCAGCACACTGAAGGGACCCACAGTGTAGCGGCAATGATACCCTTCCCAGTAACTGACCATGGTATAATCCTTGACCCAGACAGGCTCCATATGCTCAGCCACATTCACCAAGCACAGTTTTTGCAGGGATTCAACAGTCTTTTTCTTTGGCATGGAGTTCCTGGAGTTGGAAGCATGAAAGACGAAAGGCGGCGAATCGAAAGGTGGCCGTGAATCTCTAGAAGCAAACAACAAAGGCTCAAGACAAAAGAAAATCGAGATGTGCTAGATGCCCACATAGATACTATTCCAGAACAGAAATTCTTCCAATATCACACATTTATTACTTCCTTGGTGGCAGGAACAGGTTCCTACACAACCTGGAATTTTGAGGTTAGGTAGCTGGAGTCGTCCTCATGAAGGTGACCAGCATAGCGGATACTAGCTGAGGCACAGCACTTGCCCAATCCATGATCCAAGAGGTACCACAGCTTCTATTTATTAATTCTATAGTTTAATAAATATCATAGAATCGTCGTAGGATTGGAAGGGACCTTGGAGGTCTTCTAGTCCAACCCCCTGCCCAAGGCAGGAGACCTCCTACCATCCCGGACAGATGGCTGTCCAATCTTTTCTTGAAAACCTCCAGTGATGGGGCATCCATAACATCGGGAAGCAAGCTGTTCCACTGCCTAATGGTTCTCACCAACAGGAAATTCCTCCTTATTTCCAGGCTGGATCTCCCTCTGATGAGTTTCCACCCATTGGTTCTTGTCATCCCCTCAGGCGCAATGGAGAATAAATTGATGTCCTCTTCCCTGTGGCAACCCTTCAGATATTGGAAGACAGCTATCATGTCTCATATGTGAGTATGCATAATGGTAGTAGTAAGTACCACATCCAAAGAACTAGGGAATTTGGTCTCTGAGCTGGGTGCGGGTATTAGAATGGCTTTCCCCCTTTTTAAATTCAAGCAGTGATCCCATTATGCCACTTAAAAAAGATCCTATAGAGATTTGCAAAAACTATATATGACAAATATGACTGGCCCAGTTTTTAATCATCTATGCTCTAAATGCACAGACTAATCAACTTGAAAAAAAACCACACACCATAAAATCCTGCTTGCTGTGCAAAAGCTTGCCAACTCCTTGGGGAAAAAACACTTCTGCAGCTGCCCCTTTAATAGTAACTTAACTTGCAGCCATTAGCAGGTGCCAATGGCTAGTTCTGCCCTAGGAACGCCTCTTGTGCAAACCAAAACTGCCCATTCTTGTTTGTTGTGAGGGAGACAATCCCTAAAAAGACTCATTTGTAGGCATTACCCTACCTATTTTTCAACCCTAACAAATATATATGTACAACATTTACATATGCATGCGCGCACATGCGCTCGCGCACACACACACACACACACACACAAATTCGTTCCAAGATCATAATTTGTCCAGGTTTTAGTTTCTACCTACAACAACCCTGTGCGGTAGGTTAGGGTAGAAGGTAATTCTGTCACAACGTCAACCACAGTTAGCTTCATGGTTGAGTACAGACATGAATCTAGCCACTGTGTTCCAAATCTAGGGACACACACACACTCTTGTCTCATAAAGATATGGTTAACAATGGCTCAAAGTGAACATAGAACGAAGCAAGGAAGCAGAACCTACACTAGACATATTACAGATGGAGGGCACTGCCTGTGCATTTTGGTTTGAGAAGCAGTTCTTGCCGCCTTAGAATGTCAATTGTGTTCCAAATCTAGGGACACACACACACTCTTGTCTCATAAAGATATGGTTAACAATGGCTCAAAGTGAACATAGAATGAAGCAAGGAAGCAGAACCTACACTAGACATATTACAGATGGAGGGCACTGCCTGTGCATTTTGGTTTGAGAAGCAGTATTAAATGTTTAAACACCCAAACCTATCTATAATGCAAAAATGCCCTCAGAGAAACCAAGCTTAAGGGCCATAATGTCTTTTTTTTTTTTTTTTGCTTTTGTTTGAGGCATCTGGTTGAAATCCTTGCAGACTTACCGTTACAACTCTGAAAACAACAAGATTATTATTATGTATGTTATCTGCACAACCCCTGAGTGAACCAGATGACGCAAGCAAGTTGCCCAGGTGTCTTGTGTGAACATGGACCACCCTACTGAGGGGGAACTAGCTCAATTAACAGCAGGCTTCACAGAGGTGACAAATGGGGTCCAGAAGCCTGCCCAGGTGTCTTGTGTGAACATGGACCACCCTACTGAGGGGGAACTAGCTCAATTAACAGCAGGCTTCACAGGTGACAAATGGGATCCAGAACCCCCCCCTCCCCAGGCAGCCCTGCTAGAACTAGGTAATTAGCCGGACCCTCCTTCCAATCAATCCATTACACAGAGATGTTAAACCAATGGGTTTTTAGTGGATTGTTTTCTTGCAGCTCCTCTTTGGTAGCATTTCTTTTGTAAGCCACTTTGGGTTTTTATTTTAAAGCACAATAAAGGTTCTCTGAAATACAAGACCTGGACTTAGCGACAGAATACAGGATCATGGCAGATCTGGATCAGATAAGAAGGATTTTCTGCTTTGGCAGTGTTTAAACTTGATGGCCCTTCCAGTTTTGTTGTTATGCACCCATCAAATCGTCCTGGACTCTTAGGGGTGACCCCATGAATGAGCAGATCTCCAAAATGTCTTGTCCTCAACGGCCCTGCTCAGCTCTTGCAAGCTCAAGCCTGTGGCTTCCTTTGAGAAGCGAGTCCATCTCACAGTTGGCCCTCCTCTTCTCCTGCTGCCTTCCTCCTTTCCCAACATGTCTTTTCCAGAGACTCCTGCCTCCTCATGATCGACCCAAAGTAGGACAGCTCAAAGGAGCTCTCGTTTAACTAGAGAGGCTAATAGGTTTGTTTCCACCTGTGTATGCAGAAGAGGTCAGGGCCCGGGATAGAAAGGGATGGTGGTGATGATGGTGGAGGAGGTCCCTGGTTTACTGAGAGTTCCCCTCTTTGAGTCGCTTCTCCTCTTCCCGAGCGCTTTCTTCCGCTGGGCGCCTTCCCACGTCCACTTTGCACCAGTGCGCCAAAAGCTGAGGATATTCACATACACACCCCTAGGAGGGGTACATGACCTCTCCGTGGGCAGGCACTGCATGCCTTCTCTTGCCCCCCCCTCCTCATTCGCCTCGCCTATCCCGGCCCCCTCTCCACGCCCGCAGCGGCTGCCAACGAGGCTCGCCCACCCGCCCCTCCGGGAATGCCAAAGGGCGCAACGGGAGGGGGGAAGCGCAACAGGCGCGCATCCTCCGCGGAGGCAGACCCAGTACCTCTGGGAAGCAGAGCGCGCCTTTGGCACGAGAGAACCCGAATTGTCCCCTAGGAAATGGTGGGTGGGTGGATGGATGGGCGCCGCCAGGCCCCCTCCTCGCCCTTTCCTCTGGCCTCGCATCCTACCTCCTTCAGGTGGATTCGGGCTCCCGGGACGGCTGCGCGCTTCTGCTGCTGCTGGTGGAGAGAGAGAGAAAGAGGGTTTCCTGCTCTCATGGAGTTGCCTTTATACTGGCGCCTGCCTTTGGAAAAGGCGGGAGATCCCTTGTGGCGGATCGGGGCCGACAACGTCCGAGGAGCTCGCTAGGAGAGAGAAAGGTTTCCTCTCTGGGTATGGCTAATAACCTGGGCGCAGCCAGAGCGGGTCCGGTGGTGAGAAATTTGGGAAACCCGATGGGGCGCACCCCATGTTTTCCATCATGTGGGACGACCCTGGAGGCGATCAAAAGGCTCCTGTTTCCCCTCCACAGGTGGAGATGCTCTTCACACAATTCCTTATCGAGTAGTCACTCTAGGAAAAGCAAGGCCACCCAGAGGCCTGTGATACTTTTAAGGCCAACGCCCTTTTTAAATTGCCATAAACTCTCCTAGTCTGTGTCCCACTTTCCCCAAGCAATCTGCTACCGCCCATGAAAGCTGAAGTCACTTAAACCGGGTTGGTCTTAAAGGTGTCCCTTTAAGGCTGTTTGTTGTTTCTGCTGACCCAGTCACTTCCTTGAAAAACATCTCGGAAATCAGAGTTAGAAACAAAAAAAGACTTGTTTACACTTTGGTGGGGAAGAGAAAACTCTAGATCTACCAGTCCTCTGCCAAAACAAACAAACAAACAAACAAACAAACAAACAAACAAACAAACACCACTGGGATTAAATTACTGGTTACATCATCACAGAATACTTAATCAATCGCTGATGAAACCCCCCTGCAGGATCAAACTGAAGCCCTATGCATTCCTATAAACAAGCTGAATAGCTCAGTGGCTTTGGAGCCAGAGGTTCGGAGTTTGATTCCCCAGAAGGCTTCCTGGGAGAAGAGCCAGCCTGGGTGGCCTTGGGCCAGCTGCCTACTCCCAGGGAATCCCCAGAAGGAGGGAATACATTTCTGGGTATTCCAAATATTCTCTACCTGGAAACCCCTGAAAAAGATCATAAGTCATAATGGCACATGATGATGATGATCATAATGACACAGTCATGTATTCTAGTCACACTGTGGTTAACCAGAAGCTCCAATGGGAAGCACATTAACAAGACACTGGTAATAAGAGCACACACCTCAAGTTGTTCAGCATGGGATATTCAGAGACATACTGCTTCTGACGTCAGCTACAATACAGTAGATAGCTGGCATAACTATTCGCCATTGATATCCGCTATGTGCTGTCAACTTGTTCCCACCTTCTAGCAACACTATGAATTGATGGCATCTGAGAGGTCCTTTCATTAACTTTATCCTCCATGAATTTGTCTATTTGCTGTAAGCAGTTAGAGCAAATTGAAAATCTGTTTGGGCTTAGTGCTGGCAGTGAGTGTCAGAATACAGCTCTTGCTACAGCAGGACTTTGGAGTGGGTTCTGGACCTAGAACAGCTTCTGCTCTTCTTTCAAACCAACGAGGAGAAGGTAGCAGATGCAGGATTGTTGGTGGTGGTTTGATCAAGGCTAAATGCTGGCTTGTGTCCCTTAGATCTGGCCGGATCTGAACAGTGAAAAGAGCACCTATGAACTCTTTCCCCTAGCTCAGCGGGGGGTCACCCAGATGTTCTTGGACTCCCAGAAGTCTTCATCACCAGCTGTGGTAGAACTACAGTCCAAGAACACCTGGGTTACCCAAGGTTGGGAACCACTGCCATAGCTGGAAGAAAGGCACATTGAATTCTAAGATGGAAGGTTTGGACTGGATACCCATACTTACTCATCACTACCTATCCTGTTGATGTAGTGTCTCAGCCGCCCACAGTTGGATTAATCCTGAAGACTGTGATATTCTGGTTAGCGCAGTAAGTTGCAACTAGATTAGGCCCATTGAATCAATGGATCTATGGCAGGGCCAATTCACCAAGTCCCTACAGATTCAGTGGGCTTCTCTCTAGTTGCAAATTACTGTGTAGAACAACCCGATTTTAGCTTAGCCCATAGCTTCTCTCAAGAGAATAAGCTGGTCATCACAAACACTCTTTTCCAACAACACAAGAGGCGACTCTATACATGGAAATCACCAGATGGGCAATATCGAAATCAGATTGATTATATTCTCTGCAGCCAAAGATGGAGAAGCTCTATACAGTCAGCAAAAACAAGACCTGGAGCTGACTGCGGTTCTGATCATCAGCTTCTCATAGCAAAACTCAAGCTTAGACTGAAGAGATTAGGAAAAAACACTGGGCCACTCAGGTATAATCTAAACCAAATCCCTTATGAATACACAGTGGAAGTAAAGAACAGATTTAAGGAACTAGATTTGGTGGACAGAGCGCCTGAAGAACTTTGGATAGAGGCTCGTAACATTGTCCAGGAGGCAGCAACGAAAACCATCCCAAAGAAAAGGAAATGCAAGAAAGCAAAGTGGCTGTCCAACGAGGCCTTAGAAATAGCAGAGAGGAGAAGGGAAGCAAAATGCAAGGGAGATAGGGAAAGTTACAGAAAATTGAATGCAGACTTCCAAAGAATAGCAAGGAGAGACAAGAGGGCCTTCTTAAATGAACAATGCAAAGAAATAGAGGAAGATAAACAAACAAACAAACAAACAAACAAACAAACAAACAAACAAACAAACAAACAAACAAACAAACAAACAAACAAACAAACAAACAAACAAACAAACAAACAAACAAACAAACAAACAAACAAACAAACAAACAAACAAACAAACAAACAAACAAACAAACAAACAAACAAACAAACAAACAAACAAACAAACAAACAAACAAACAAACAAACAAACAAACAAACAAACAAACAAACAAACAAACAAACAAACAAACAAACAAACAAACAAACAAACAAACAAACAAACAAACAAACAAACAAACAAACAAACAAACAAACAAACAAACAAACAAACAAACAAACAAACAAACAAACAAACAAACAAACAAACAAACAAACAAACAAACAAACAAACAAACAAACAAACAAACAAACAAACAAACAAACAAACAAACAAACAAACAAACAAACAAACAAACAAACAAACAAACAAACAAACAAACAAACAAACAAACAAACAAACAAACAAACAAACAAACAAACAAACAAACAAACAAACAAACAAACAAACAAACAAACAAACAAACAAACAAACAAACAAACAAACAAACAAACAAACAAACAAACAAACAAACAAACAAACAAACAAACAAACAAACAAACAAACAAACAAACAAACAAACAAACAAACAAACAAACAAACAAACAAACAAACAAACAAACAAACAAACAAACAAACAAACAAACAAACAAACAAACAAACAAACAAACAAACAAACAAACAAACAAACAAACAAACAAACAAACACCACTGGGATTAAATTACTGGTTACATCATCACAGAATACTTAATCAATCGCTGATGAAACCCCCCTGCAGGATCAAACTGAAGCCCTATGCATTCCTATAAACAAGCTGAATAGCTCAGTGGCTTTGGAGCCAGAGGTTCGGAGTTTGATTCCCCAGAAGGCTTCCTGGGAGAAGAGCCAGCCTGGGTGGCCTTGGGCCAGCTGCCTACTCCCAGGGAATCCCCAGAAGGAGGGAATACATTTCTGGGTATTCCAAATATTCTCTACCTGGAAACCCCTGAAAAAGATCATAAGTCATAATGGCACATGATGATGATGATCATAATGACACAGTCATGTATTCTAGTCACACTGTGGTTAACCAGAAGCTCCAATGGGAAGCACATTAACAAGACACTGGTAATAAGAGCACACACCTCAAGTTGTTCAGCATGGGATATTCAGAGACATACTGCTTCTGACGTCAGCTACAATACAGTAGATAGCTGGCATAACTATTCGCCATTGATATCCGCTATGTGCTGTCAACTTGTTCCCACCTTCTAGCAACACTATGAATTGATGGCATCTGAGAGGTCCTTTCATTAACTTTATCCTCCATGAATTTGTCTATTTGCTGTAAGCAGTTAGAGCAAATTGAAAATCAGTTTGAGCTTAGTGCTGGCAGTGAGTGTCAGAATACAGCTCTTGCTACAGCAGGACTTTGGAGTGGGTTCTGGACCTAGAACAGCTTCTGCTCTTCTTTCAAACCAACGAGGAGAAGGTAGCAGATGCAGGATTGTTGGTGGTGGTTTGATCAAGGCTAAATGCTGGCTTGTGTCCCTTAGATCTGGCCAGATCTGAACAGTGAAAAGAGCACCTATGAACTCTTTCCCCTAGCTCAGCGGGGGGTCACCCAGATGTTCTTGGACTCCCAGAAGTCTTCATCACCAGCTGTGGTAGAACTACAGTCCAAGAACACCTGGGTTACCCAAGGTTGGGAACCACTGCCATAGCTGGAAGAAAGGCACATTGAATTCTAAGATGGAAGGTTTGGACTGGATACCCATACTTACTCATCACTGCCTATACTGTTGATGTAGTGTCTCAGCCGCACACAGTTGGATTAATCCTGAAGACCGTGATATCTGGTTAGCGTAGTAAGTTGCAACTAGATTAGGCCCATTGAATCAATGGATCTATGGCAGGGCCAATTCACCAAGTCCCTACAGATTCAGTGGGCTTCTCTCTAGTTGCAAATTACTGTGTAGAACAACCCGATTTTAGCTTCTGCCTTCTGGATCAGAGGAGTTTCCCTTTTATGGGTAGAGGATGGGAGAGGCCCGCACACCGTGGGTGCATCTGATTGGCCACTGTAGGAAATGGGATGTTGGCACCAATACACCCTTGGTCTGACTTAGCTGGACTTCATTTTCATGCCATAGCACTGAAAAGTGGCAGATATACAGTATAGGAAAGGAGTAGGTCATGAGCTGGCTGGACAGCTCAGTGAGTTGGAGCGTCTGGTTGCAGTGCTGAGGATCAGGAGTTCTCCCCCCCCCACTCTTTTTTTTCTGAGAAAAGAACCAGCCTGTGTAGCCTTGGGCAAGCTGCATAGTTCCAGGGCACTCCTAGAAGACAGGAACTAGTGTAAACCATTTCTGAGAGCTCTATACTCAGAGAACCCTGGAAAGGATCCCCATCAGCCACTTGATTCCAACTTGACCCCTCCAAGCTCACATTTCTCCCCTGTCATCTCACTCTTCCTGCACTCTAATCTCAGTGTAATTCAGAAGCAAAGTTTGCAGTGTGTGAATGAAGCTTTATTGAAACATACACAAACAGCTTTGGCCGCAGCACAACGGATGGAGCCTCTTTTGTATTTCAGTCCCACACGATGTTCAATTCAAAGTGCTCCCTGCTCACTCTCTGAAGGAGTGCATCGTAGTCGGACGCGTGGATGTTCGGACAGCCGCTCAACTTGAGGCGGGCCAGCTGATTGTCTGCGGACAACAGCAAGTGGATTGTGGAAGGGGACACTTCGTTGTCGATCAGTGAGAGCTCGTGGAGGTTTAGTAGGGCCGTGCCAGGCAGTTCCAGCACTTTTTCAAAGACTGCATCCAGGGAGAAAGGCACGCTGACCAAAGTCACGTCTTCCAAGCACGGGGAATGTTTGAGCAGGGAAACAAGGATGGACCTCAGGATCTCTGCTTGCTGGGCAGTCATAGGGGTATCGATGTCCGAAGGCAGCAAGTAAAAGCCATAAAGCTGAGGCAGTTCGTAAGGAGTAACTCTGAGATCCCAGCCTATGGCCTCCATGTTGGGTTGCCTGCCACGAGAACGCCTCCTGAAGGGGAGGAACGAAGCGCTGAATAACATGAGGTTCCTGCAGTGGCTCAGCAGAGTCTGGAAAGATAACTCTTCCTCAAAGAAGAAGCCCTGAATGGAGAGGGTTTCAAGCTGGGCTCCAAGGCTTGCCGTCAGTGGCAAAAGGTCCCGCAGGTCTCTGCGTTCTGTACAGATGAGAGTCAAGTGGGCGAGATGGCGGCAGGACAGGAAGTGCCGGGCAAATCTGGACGGGTCTTCTAGAAACACAGTCACGTCTTGTAAATAGGGGCACGCCGTACTAATTACCGGCAAGGAGGACTCGTTGAAATCGTACATTTCTGTGAGGGCCCAAGTAAGTCTGGTATTCCCTTCGTTCATGTGGGTGGATTTTCTGGACCGCACCAGTTCTTGCAGGGAGGGAAACCCAGAAGGCACCGGGACGCTGTTAAACTGTCCGCTGTGGATCAGACGCACGGCCTCTGCAAGGAGACCGTTGGCCAACAATCTCAAGGCAGGCAGGGCCAGAAGCAGGAAAGCCAGGGCCCCAATCAGGTCACCAGGGGTCCTGGCTTCCATCTTCCATAGCTTGAGCCCTTCTAATTTGGGGCAACAGAAGGAGCCTGTCATGGGATCGTAAGCAAGGTAGAAGAGAGCATCGGGCGCCAGTCTCTTGCAGGCAGTGATGTCCAACTGACGGAGGTGTCGGCAGCAGGAGCCCACAGCTGACAATACCTCTGTGTTGCATTGAGTCTCCGAGAGGTTCAGTTCTTTAAGACACGGCAAAGCTTTCATGAGGTCGACCAGAGCATTGGCAGGCATCTGATGGCATTTCTGGAGATCTAACAAAGACAGGTTCTACCTCAGGAAAGAGAAAGAGAGGCAATGAGTTGTCAAGGGGTGAAATTTGATACACAGAGAGTGTTAAAACAATTAAGGCGGGTGTAGAAAAATCAGTCCTGGAAATGCTGTCTCTTAAAAATGAGGCGTAGCTGGTTTTTTTAAATACACAGTGAAATAGTGAGCTTTCCAGCTAAGCCTGGAAGGAAGGTCATTCTATGATGACACAGCTTTGTAAAGGGATTACTTTCATGCCTGGCAGTAGAATTGTAGGAGAGAATTGAAAATGTATGGAAATAATTATTTTGTCATTGGTAAAATGTTGCAATGTGTTAATAGGACCTGAGATACCATTTGCAAGACCTGTAACTTGCACTATTAGTGGTTACTGGGCTCTGGTTTTATAGCACAGCAGGACCCCCATATCTGCAGATGCTGAAATACGTGGATTATAGTGAACATGATTTTAATGGTGATCCCTATACATAGCATGGCCAGTTTCTGGTAATGGCATCATAGAAATATATTTCTCTAGCAAATGCTACACATTGCATGGTCTCTGGCTCCCACTAGTGGTCAGTTCTGGTAACTTCATATTTAGAAATATACTGTTGTATACAGTATTTCTAAGATTTTTCTTTGAATATTTTCAGACCGTAGATAAGTGAATCAGCAGATACTAATCCCATGGATATGGGCGTCCTACTGTACTTTGGTGTGGGTATATTTCTCTAGCAAATGCTACACATTGCATGGTCTCTGGCTCCCACTAGTGGTCAGTTCTGGTAACTTCATATTTAGAAATATACTGTTGTATACAGTATTTCTAAGATTTTTCTTTGAATATTTTCAGACCGTAGATAAGTGAATCAGCAGATACTAATCCCATGGATATGGGCGTCCTACTGTACTTTGGTGTGGGCCAGATTCTGTGAATCAGCAGATACTGATCCCATGGACATGGGGGTCCTACTGTACTTTGGTGTGTACCAGATTCTTTATTTTGCAAGCCTTTATTCCTACAAACTTTCCAAAATGTTAGTCCTAATGAGGACGAGTTGTGAGATATGTTTTTCCTCCTGTCCACATTCTTCACACCATGCACTATTTTAGCCCCCAAGGAATCTTTGTCCAAGTGTGTTCCCCCACCGCCTCTCCCTGTCTTACCTTGCAGCGTACTGCAATGGCCTGAACAACAGTCTCATTGACCAGCGTTGAGCAGATGCTCAACTGCAGCTTGCGCAGCTGTGGTACGAAAAAGGTGTCCAGCACAGCAGGGGTCAGGAGATGCTCCTCCCCCATTATCAGGAAGAGCTCCTGGAGAAGGACATCAGCTGGATGGGAGAAAGATTGCAGATGTTAGCTTGAATGACCCAGGGTGGTAAACCAGCCTCCCTCAAGTATTTTCTTCAGATGTTTTCAGCCAAGAGCCAATAGGTGTGTGTGAGAGAGAGCAGAACGCTATTTTACACCTCTATCTATCTATCTATCTATCTATCTATCTATCTATCTGTCTGTCTGTCTGTCTGTCTGTCTGTCTGTCTGTCTGTCTGTCCGTCCGTCCGTCCGTCCGTCCGTCCGTCCGTCCGTCGGTCTGTCTATCTATCTATCTATCTATCTATCTATCTATCTATCTATCTATCTATCTATCTATCTATCTAGTGTAAAATAGCATTCTTCTCTCTCTCTCTCTCTCTCTCTCATACACACACACACACACACATATTTAATTTTTTTATTAATTTTATATTCATTTTTAAAAAATAAGATACAATATATAAAACCACAAAATAGTCACAGAGCACCAAACTCTTCATAGTAAGCGTATCCAACGGTGTTACTAGCTAATGTATCTTTCTATAAATCAGGATGAATGACTAGACGTTGCTAAGAAGACCAGTTATGATCATGCCAATATTGAATGAAAGGGAGACAGATTTTATAAAACAAGACTGTACTAGAATTCTGGAACCTCAGCGGTGAGTGGGCAGTGAGCTTTTCCATCAACACCAATTTCCATACCCTAGATTCCCAAGCACTCAGTTTTACTCAGAGAGCAAAACTAGCCCGAGGTCACTCAGGGAGCTTCATGGCCGAGCCGGCTTTTGAATCCCGTTGCTCCGGTTTTAAACCCATCTGCTCCAGGACAGCAAGTTTGTTCCACATTCACAAATGACAGAAACAGTTGTCAATTACATGTGGTTCTCTTCCCCAATTGGATCTTAATCTACAAGTCTGAGATTCGAGGCCTTAGAAATTCTGTAGCAGAGAAGCCAGTTTCCACGGTCAGTTTCACAAAGCAAGTTCTTTCACCAGGAATTCCTGCCTCCCCACGACCACTTGGCTTTCCTGGTGAAAGGCAAGTGTCGGTCCTGACCTATAAAGCCCTCTGTGGTTTGGGCCCTTGCTCCTTGTTGGAGCATTTGTCCTTAAAAACGTCCACCCACCACCTGATTCTCTCAGGTCATGCTACTTCAGGTTGCCACTCCCAAGAGGGAGGCCAGGAAGTCATCAGCTAGAAAGAAGGCCTTCCTAGTCATGGCTCTATCCTTTTGGAATGGACTCCTGGTGCAGCTGCTGCGCCTGGCCTCCTCCTCTTCCTCCATGCTACGTCAAGAAAAGATCCTTTCATTGGCTTCAGTAAAGGCTGGGGCCCTTTAAGAGGATGCTCAAAATAAGGCTCTTTAATGAAGCCAATGAAAGGATCCTCTCATAACGTAGCATGGGCTCGCTTGATTCTCCTTTGATGCTTGCCTTATTTGCATATACGTGGTGTTCGTCTCCTATGTGCGGCTCCTGGCAATGGTGCGGCTAAAAATATTGTAAATAAATAAATAAAATAAATAAATAGTATCTTATTTAAGATTTATTTTATGTTTGTTTCACTTCAGATGTAAACCGCCTAGAGCAGTGTTTATCACTAACCAGTGCAGAGTAGACCATGTCTAGATGGGCAGCATATAAATGCAATAAATGAATGAATGAATGAATGAATGAATGAATGAATGAATGAATGAATGAATGAATGAATAAATATACAAGTTAATTAATGAATCATTAATAGTGCTAGATGCAAACTTTGGGTTACTTGTGAGCCTTGTTTTGCATGTCAAGGAGAGGATAAACAAGCATGTGCCTCAAAAGAAGCTTGTGATGCACCTCCTGGCAAGGAATGGGCACTAGGAGGCACAACCTTCTGTTTTCCACTAAACCGGTTGAAGGCTGCTGATGTTGGCTGGGATGTTTTTATTTACAATTTATTTATTTACAATATTTTTTAGCCGCACCATTACCAGTGGCTTCTGGGCGGCGTACAACATTAAAACTTAAAAACATTTTAAAAGACAATACAAAATATCATATATTAAATATTTCTTGATTGTAATGGTCAGTTTTTGGGGTCTGCTCTATGGATCCTCACTCAACTGAGATGCCCCTGGCATGCTTTTCTGTCACTCTGCCCTCCTCCCACCTTGTGTGCCTCTCATCCGGCAGAAGGACCCCCCTGTTATACTTGCACAGGTAGTTCTCCCTGTAATCTCGGAACCAGACGCGCTCCATCGTCCTAGCCACGTTCTCCAGGCACAGCCTTTGCAAGGTAGAGACATTCTTTCTCTTGGGCATGGAGCACCTTGAGTCAAAACTACAGAAAGACGTTTGAGAGAAGAGTGAGGAAGAGACCATGTTCTTTCATGCATGGTGGACAGAAAATGAGAGCTCGGCTAAGGGAAGGGAAATCTTTTCATTTCAGGATAAACCCTCCCCTTTAAGTGTCCCTGGTTGGATAGTTCAGTGAGTTAGGTTTCTGACTGAAGAGCTAGAGGTTGAGAGTTCGATTCCCCAGGTTGCCTCCTGTGAGTCGAACCAGCCTGGGTGGCCTTGGGCGAGCTGCACAATCCCAGGGCAACCCCAGAAGAAAGGAATGGCAAACAGCTTCTGAGTAATGATCTACCTGAAAACCCTGAAAAGGGTCACCCGAAGTCAGAACCGACTTGACGGCACACAATTATTACTGTATTTTTCATGTATAAGACGCCCCCCCCTTTTCTGATCCAAAATTAAGAAATCTAAGTGGGGCTTAGCAAGTGTAGGGGGAAAGGGATAAAAGTGCTGCAGAATCGCTTCGATCCCTGCTTTCCCCTCCACTTGTTTTTGTTCTCTCCTCTGCTTACTTCCGTGTATAAGGCGACCCTCAATTTTTAGTCTAAAGATTTTAGACAAGTATAGTCTTATACATGGAAAATACAGCATTATTATTTAATAAGATGTTCTGGAGCCCTCTGGGACTCTCCGTCTCCCCTTGGTGTCCTGTCTCACCAAAACTCAGATGTTCTGGATAACCCGGCAGCTGCAAAAGATAATCCGCCTTTTCATGGGGATGGGATGATGCATCGGAGACATGGCAACAGCCCTCCTTTCATTTCGGCACCGTTAGCCCCTGCAAGCACTTGGGTTGCATAGCTTCCCATGTCCTTGGAAGCCAAGGGTGGGGGAACAGCATCCCAGATCTCCACCATTTCATTTGTTTTTTTGCCCCTCGGGGTATCAGCTGCCCCTTGCTTTTACCTGCCTGAGATCCTGGGCTGCCCAAAGCAAGTGGCCTATCAGCTGGGTGATGAGCACCGAACACAGACTGTTCTTGTCCTGTGCCATCCAATCAGAACGAACCGACACAGCTTTCAAGGCAAGTGAAATATTTAAGGAGTGGTTTTACCCGTTCCGCACCCTCCCCCCAGTGAGTTTCCATGGCTGAGCAGGGATTGGAACCCTTGTCTCCAGTGAGTGTCTTAGGCAATCCCTCTAGATCCCCTGCTCCATTCTGGGTTTCTGAATACGGCCAAAGAGTGAAGCAGCCCAGTGAGTGGTCAGAGAGGACTCTCATGCAAAGGTCCAGCACCTCCGGGCAGCTTGACTTCTGCGGTGTGCGGCTGTTTTTACATCTAGATACTCGTCTGACACTGTGGGCTGCAGGCCAGGTTTGCTTGGCCTTGGCTGAAGCAAAGAAGCCATCCACCCCCACCCTCCGCATAGCTTGGATGTGAAAGCACTATTCAGAAGTAGGGGCAACTTTCCCAAACTCAGGGAAGCAATGGGGGGGGGGAATCAAGACTCACCACTGTCCGCTGCCTGCCTGCTGAGGTGAGAGGAGGCTTTCCAGATGTGGTGGGAAAGTCTCACCCCCTCCCTCTCTCTGGCTTGGGCTCTTTTGCCTACTTCCCTGCGGGTGCACCTTCACACCTGTGCAGGATCACCAGAGGTGCTGGGCCGGGGGGGGGAGAGGGGCAAGGCCCCTCCCTCCCCAGTGATCTTTCTAGGGCTCCTTTGGCACTGGCCGGCAGCCAAGGACCTTGTTAGGGGTGGAGAAGAAGGCATGCCTCTTCTTAGGGCAGCTGCAGCGACTGAAGGGCATGGAAGAGACGCTGCAGGAAAAAAGTGTTGTACGTTTGGATTGCAAAGGAGATCTACACTAGATTCCCCTTCTGTTGCAGACTAAGGAACGGAAGACGGATACCCCTAGCTCTGGTCCATTTACACTTGGCCAAAGTTTGGGCCAAGAATTGCCAAAGGCATTATCAGTGGATGCTCGTCCACCTGGTCAAGGGAGGGATGGGGGGCGGGCTACTGCCTTCTTTGGCTTGCTGTTAGCCAACTTCTTCATTTATTCCCTGGAAATTTGAGTTCTGGCTGAAATCCTGTTGCTTGGGGTAATTAGAGTAGGCCCATTTGAATCAATGGAACTTAAGGAGGCTTTGCCTCACCTCAGTCCCCACTGATCCAATGGGCCGGTTCTAGTTGTGTCATGCTACACTAAACAACAGGATTTCGGCCGGCGGGACCCTTCACGGCCCTGCAAAGTAGGTCACCCTCCTGACTGACAGCTGAGGATAGAGGGGACTGTACCCCACCTCTCCCGGCCCTGTGGTGCAATGACGCGGCTGTGTCTTACCTTGCAGTTCCATGCACTTAGTTATGTCTTATGTATATCACGGGGCGGGGACTTCAGAGAAGCCCCATGAAGGAGGTTACCTGCCAACAAGCCCCAGCCCTCCAAGCACTAAGCTGTGTCTTACTTTGCAACCCAATTCATTCATTCATTCATTCATTCATTCATTCACTCTCACTTACTTACTTACTTACTTACTTACTTACTTACTTCTTGTTCATGGGAGAGCACTTCACAACAAATGATCCTTAGATCGTTTGGTGGAGATGAGGAGGAGAACTCAGACCCTGGAAACCACAGCCCAGTGTGCCGGCTATATGACTCTCTGCCTTACAGTGCAGTCCTGTGTGTCTGTTTATGTCTGACATGTGTTCATTACGAGTGTGCTTCACGACAACCTTGCAAGGTAGACCACCTGCCCTTGGTGGTTGAGGGGGGGTGGAGATTACAGTCCAGACCTTGTCTATCCCAAACTTGTCACCTAACCACGAGACCAGTTTTGCCACTAATACAGCCGGCTGTGACTTTTGGGAAGTTGAAGTTGAGGATGTGAGTGGAGTGGCCAACATTTTCCCAAACCTATCCTCGAAGGCTTTCACGGCTGGGATCCGATGGTTGTTATGGGTTTTCCGGCCAAACAGCCCGGAAAACCCACAATAACCATTTCCCCAACCTGCCTGTCCATTAATGGGGTTCTCCCTCCCTCTCTCTCTCCTCTCTAGCTTCTCCTCCTCTGACATGTCTAGTGAGCCTGCTTGTTCAGTATTGGGTGCCCATAATAGCTGCCAACAATATTGAGGCAGTGAAGTACAGTATTTTAATGCTAGAAAATTTGCCAAAACAGGAGTCCTGGTAAAATCTGAGATCTCCTGCCATCAAACAGCAGCAGAAAAAAAGAGAGAGAGAGAACAGATGCAGTGTCTGGAGGACCCCCTTGGCCAATTGTGGGGAAGCCTCAGTTAATCAGGTGAACACAAAAAAAATTAGAATATAGGGTATGATATGTTGAACGGGCAGATATGGTTTAGACAGGGCTAGGAAAGGCTTTATGAACCCATGGGCCAGTGAACTTAATAGATAATGACAAGCAAAGCGTGAGGTCAGGGAAATTTGACCAGCCAGCATGATCTTGGATATTTTCCACAGGATGGGGAACAGGTGCAAAAAAATGGGCTAGGGATATCTTTGAAGGTATTGTACCAATGTGGGATGTGGTGGCGCTGTGGGCTAAACTGCAGAAGCCTGTGCTGGAGGGTCAGAAGACCAAGCAGTCGTAAGATCGAATCCACGTGACGGAGTGAGCTCCCGTCGCTTGTCCCAGCTCCCGCCAACCTAGCGGTTCAAAAGGATGCAAATGCGAGTAGATAAATAGGGACCACCTCGGTGGGAAGGTAACAGCGTTCCATGTTTAAGTCGCACTGGCCACGTGACCATGGAAGATTGTCTTCGGACAAAACACTGGCTCTATGGCTTGGAAACGGGGATGAGCACCGCCCCCTAGAGTCGAACACGACTGGACAAAAATTGTCAAGGGGAACCTTTACCTTTACCTTTTATTGTACCAATACAATGAAATCCTGAAATCCTGTTGCTTGGGGTAATTAGAGTAGGCCCATTTGAATCAATTGAACTTAAGGAGGGAGGGCTTTGCCTCACCTCAGTCCCCACTGATCCAATGGGCCGGTTCTAGTTGTGTCATGCTACACTAAACAACAGGATTTCGGCCGGCGGGACCCTTCACGGCCCTGCAAAGTAGGTCACCCTCCTGACTGACAGCTGAGGATAGAGGGGACTGTACTCCACCTCTCCCGGCCCTGTGGTGCAATCACGCGGCTATGTCTTAACTTGCAGTTCCATGCGCTTAGTTATGTCTTATGTATATCACGGGGTGGGCACTTTAGAGGAGCCCTTGAAGGAGGTTACCTGCCCACAAGCCCCAGCCCTCCAAGCACTAAGCTGAGTCTTACTTTGCAACTCAATTCATTCATTCATTCATTCATTCATTCATTCATTCATTCATTCATTCATTCATTCATTCATTCATTCATTCATTCATTCATTCACTCTCACTTACTTACTTACTTACTTACCTACTTACCTACTTACTTACTTACTTACTTACTTACTTACTTACTTACTTACTTACTTACTTACTTACTTACTTACTTACTTACTTACTTACTTACTTACTTACTTACTTACTTACTTACTTACTTACTTACTTACTTACTTACTTACTTACTTACTTACTTACTTACTTACTTACTTACTTACTTACTTACTTACTTACTTACTTACTTACTTACTTACTTACTTACTTACTTACTTACTTACTTACTTACTTACTTACTTACTTACTTACTTACTTACTTACTTACTTACTTACTTACTTACTTACTTACTTACTT